GTGCAGCAGCAGGAGGGGTAATAAAGGGATCATGGCTAGGCTGATGGAAGAGGAGAAGAGATCAGCAATCATTATCAAATGGCTATTTTAAGGTCTTCCTGCAAGTTTTTTATTTTCCCACAATTTCCCTTCCTAGGCGCACCATTCCCCGATTTTTGATGCAATTCAGAATGTCAAAGACCATCAGTTACCAGTGCTCAGTTAACTCCTGAGGTGTGCTGTCCTGTCACATGGCCCCTTGGAGCTCAGCTGTAACATCCCTGCTGCCACTGCTGCCACGGCCAAGTCCTTCAGGTCCTGCGGTCCCACGTCCTGGAGCTCAGCTGAGAAAACCTGTTCCACCGACTCCACCTCTGCTTGTGTCCGTCTGGTGCAGCAGTGGCGTTTGCATCCGGGATGTACTGCCCATTGGCCTGACAGCTTCCCACCTTTATCGCTGCTGGCATCGTTTCACACACTGCACTGGACTTGCCGCTTTGCTCTCTCTCTGTCTCAAGACACCCGCGAGGCCAAAGTGACTCGGACAGCTGGCTGACAAGCACAGGCATCTTGTCTTCACAGTTCCTGTGACCTCTAGTGCATCGCTGGCACCACAGTAATTTCACAATGTTAAATACAGACCTGGTTGTGACCTGTACCCCTCCTGCAAGTATCTTCTCAGTAGCCCTCTCGAGCTGCTGATGCAGGCAGCTTGATTAGATGCAAATTTCCTTACAGCTCCCCCGTCTGAGGGGTCTGCTGGGGGAGGCATTCCCACGGGGTTCTCCGGAATATATCCAAACACTTTACATCTTAATTTATTTAGTTTATGTGAGAATTTGTTGTGCTTTCTGAGTTGCTTGAAGCCTTCAGATAGGATTTTTTACACTTTTCCCCCACATCTAACATAACTTATGCATAACTTAGTACTGTTTACGCTGTCAAATGTATTGTATTTCCAAGCAAAAAACTTCTGGCTCTGAGTACAACCCAATGGCATTCTAAGAAAATAGTTTCCTAAAGACATAATGTTCATGCACAAATGGATGTCCCGGTTTCATAAGGTCACCTCCCAGAGTGTTACTGCCCTTTCACTTTCTCGTTAGAAACATTGCGATCAAGGCCATTTTCAGGTCACTTGCATGAAATGAAATATTTCAACATTTCTGCTTGCTTTTTACATGATCTGTAAGAGCACTACATTCACTTGTTCTTCTTAGTTATATTCTTCTCCCTAGTGCAATAAGCTTCTCTTATTCTAGCCTGAATCGTGGCAAGAGAAACTTTCCTGGGTAGATGACCCATGGACCATCTCGACCCTTTCAACTTTATTCCATACTCTGTTGAGAGTTCCTGTGTTTCCTGAAAGCATCCTTAGTTTCGTCTTCAGTTGCTGTCAACCGTTGTCCATCCATTGAATGAATTAACTCTCTGAAATCCAGAAGTTGGCATCCTTTTGTCTCAAGAATAAGTAACATTTTTTCCTTCTGGTACTATTATAAATTTTAACTTTTCCGTATTTTTCTTAATCCAAGCACTTACTGACATAATTCTGTAATGGCATAAAGTTTCTAAGACCAGAGTTTCATTGACTCCTACCACCAGTGAGTTTTCTTTGCTGATACTGGTGTCCCTGGTGCACCCAAACATCATGGAAAATCAGTCTGTGTCCCATGGGCCTTCAGGTGGACAGTCCATTCACCTTCTACTATGCCGTTTTCCATGACTGCCATGAAGAAGTCTTCTTCCTTCCTCTACAGATCTCTGCTGATGCTTGTAAATGCCCGTGCAGTGCTGTGATGCTTTTACAAATGGTAGATACTATCTTGCATGAGTTCTTTGTCCACTCTGGGTTTCTCAGAGTCTTGGGCTTTCTGGGCTCCCACACTGACAGCGTTATGCTATCCTGCCTCAATTGCATTTGCAGAAACATTGTGGGTTTCTTTTCATGTCCACAGCATCAAAGCAGCAACCAACCTCCTCAAACTTCAGACAAGTCCTTCAGACAATTAGAAATGCTAATTGCTTTGCCATAAGTTGACTCTGGGTATTTCAGTAGACATTTCCTTGAATGATTTTTCCCAGAAACTAACTGCGATCTTATCACAAACTGAATTTGATTTCAAAAATTGAAAAACTTTTTTAAACTTTCTATTGATCACAAACATGATTTTATTTAACCACCCTCTTCGTAATGTCTGTTTGAAAACATACCTCTGACATGTTTCACTTTACCTTGAGAGTAGTACTCAAATTGCCGTAATATTATTTCGTAATTAGCCTGCTCTGCCTAAGTTAATGGGAAAATATTTTTAACAATCAAGGTGCTTCAGATCTTCTCTGTCAGAAATTAAGCTACCTTTCCAGTGGCACTTCTGGCTTATGGATACAGACTGAAGTACTGGGTAAACGACTCCAATTATCTTCTGTAGTCTGAAAGAATTTTGGTGCTGGTAAGGTGTTAAACTTCTCTGTTTTTCTGTTTAGGATATTTCCTTGCTGTTTATTCCTGGGAAAATCAGTTGTTTGATAATCACCTTGAGGGAAGAATTTGCTGCGTTCGGTGATGGATTTCACACTGAGCAGACTTTCATAACCTGAATGCCTTCACAACTCAACCAGTTCAAATAGCAGAGCCTATTTAACAGAGCAGTCTCTCCCAGATTGTACAACATGGTGTGCCTAAAATTTGTTTTAAACTCAAAACTGAGACAATATAGTGCCTGGAGCAGAGAATTTGGAGGTGCGGGAAGGGAAGAAGGAAGTTTGCTAATGGTTTGGTCTTAACATTTTGGAGAGGATGGTACCAATAAGCAGTAAACTGACTTTCCCAGACAGAGCCCTAACAGTAGTGGGGAAACAAGACATTAATGTAATTCTACATTACAAGTGTGTTGTCAGTGGCCCTTATTTTGAATTTTTGTGCAAAGACGTACTGCACATGAACACTACTGCATATATATGATAAAAGTGTGTCATTGATAAAAGAAAAGGAAAAAAAAAGAATGTCAGGTCAAACATCTGCACGCCGTTCAGCAGTACTGTTAACTTCTCACTGTCGCTTGCAGACGAATGTTGGCTTTGGATGCAACCACCAAATATTTTCCAAGTTGCCGGATTTCCAGCAGAAATCATTTATCTCCTACCAGAACTAACCTAGAACTACTGGAAAGCTGTCCAGTGAACGGCACAAATGAACACTTTCCTAAGCTCTGACTTCTTTCTGTGCCAGTTATAGATTTCAATAACAGAAAGGTTTTAATTAAGTTGATGGACGTAAGTGAGATTAATATGCATTGGGGCACGTGTGAAATACTGTAGCAGTTAATAGGGAATTAAGCTTTTCTGATGACTTCTGTTCACCCAGCACATTCCTGATAACAAGGAAATCCTTCGTTCTTGGAACAACAGCTCAATGCAGGGAGTAAGTGATATAGATTTTCCTCTGGTCTGAACAGATTATTTTCTTTTGTTTATTGCTGTCATTCATGCTCATAATATGGGTTTCACAGCAAAGCATATCATAAATAAGCCTTACCTTCCTGCCCATTAGTCTATAATAAATTCTGTGGCATCTTTTAAAGATGATAAAAGCTTCAGCTTTAAATGGAAACTGCAACCTGAAGCCCTGAGCAACCAGAGATCAGTCAGCGATAAGTGTGGAACATGAATAAGTGAATTACAGGGCAGGAGCAGTCTGACAACTTCAGATGCACGCATATCCATACATACAAAACACTACAGAATCATGGTATGATTGAAGTTGGAAGTCTGAAAATCATCTGATCCCATTCATGGCTTAAAGCAAGGCAAACTCTGAAGTTAGATCCAGGTTTGAGTTTAGACCAGGTCGTTCAAGGTCTTTTCCAGCTAGATATTAACATCTCCGCAGACGGGATTTCCACAGCCTCTCCAGGAAATGCGTTCCTGTGTTTGACTGCCCGTCGTGAAACTTTTTCCTAGTATGTGGTTTGGCTTTCCACCACAACTGCGACTGAAGTCGACTACCTTATCTTTCTCCCTGAGAAAAATTTGATTGTCATCTCTGTAGGTGCCCATTAGTGAGTTGCAGGGAGCAGTGAGACTCCCCCTTAACCTCCTCTTCTGCGGGCTGAGCAGACCCTGTTCGCGGAGCCTCTCCTCATATGCCATGTGCTCCATTCCTCGGTCATCTCGGCAGCTTCTGATGGACTCACTGGGGTATGTCAGCCTCTCCTGCAGTAGGAAGCCCAGAAATGGAGACAGCACTCCAGATGTGGTCTCAGAGGTGTTAAGGGGAAGGATCATCTCCCTCACCCACTTGTTATGCACTTGCTAGTGCAGCCTAGGACACGGCTGGCCACTTTTGCCATACAAATACACTGATGATACTCATATTCAACTTGCACTCCAGGATGCTCAGGTCCTCTTCTGCAAAGCTGCTTTCTAGTGGTTCAGTGTCTGATCTGTCCTGCTGCGTGGGGTTATTCTGTCTCAGGTAAAACACTTTGCATTTGTTGATGTGGTTCCCAGCAACTCATCTCTTCAGCCTGTCAAGATCCCTCTGAACAGGAACTCCCTGCCTTAACCTCCAGCGTATCAGCTGTACTCTGCAGCCTGGTACCATCAGCAAAGCTTCTGAGGGTTAGTTACTCCCTGCCAGGGAAGTGGTGGAGTCCCCATCCCTGGAGGTATTTAAAAGCCATGTAGATGTGGTGCTTAGGGACGTGGTTTAGTGGTGGGCTTGGCAGTGCTGGGTTTATGGTTGGACTTGATGACCTTAAAGGTCCTTTCCAACCAAAACGATTCTATGATTCTGCGATTCTACCATCACACAGGTCATTTATAAAGACATTAAGTTGTACTGGTTCCAGTATCAATCCCAGAGAAAAAACATTAGTAAATGACCACGAGGCAGACTTTGTACTTCTGATCTCAACACCTGAATCCCAGCAATCATCTGATCAATTTTTCACTCACACTATATACCACCTCTCCGAACAACATCTCTCCAATTTGCTAGAGGGATAATATAGGCCACCATGTCTAAAGCCTTGCTAAACCCAAGGTAAATGACCCTCAGTGATTTGCAAATGCCCTGGTACTCAAGCACACAAAAGTAATAAAATGCTTGGAGTTTAACAAGGAGGATATGCTGCTGCATGCCTTCAGGTGGAAAGAGTTCTTGATGGGAAAACTTCAAAGGAGAAGGTACGGACTGACTGCCTAGCAAGTTTAATGACCTCCAGGGATATGACACAGCATACTCCAAGCCTTTGAGTGGAAAAAGCCTGATTCTTTTAAGACTTCATGTAGCAGTACTTAATGTGTGACTTTAATCCAATACGAGAAGAAAGAGGAAGAGGAAAATTTATATGGCTTTTTAGTCTGAGGTGGGTGAGAAATGGGGTCATGCCTTCCTGCTAGCTGTGGTTTTAACAAATTCAGAGAAGTCATTTTTTTTTCTGGTCTTGACCTTAAAAAAAAAATCTGAACAAATTTTTAAGAGTAGAACAACAGGAGAAGGGAAGAATCATTAGCTTGCAGACTGATGCTGTGCTGCCTGAAAACAATTAAGAATAACCTTTTGGGGTAGGCAGTGCAAGCCCTACTCGGGCAGTCAACTTCACTGGTGACTCCTCTTGTTCAGGGACTGTGGTGGGAGCAGGTGATAATGTAGAAGAGATCAAAGGACTGAAACAGTGTCCTGGAATTATCCCCGCAGTGTGATATCCACGCTTGGCTGATGATAATGAAAGGGCCGGGAAGATGCACTGATTAGTGCCCTGCTTTCCTTGCACCTACACAGACAGCAGAAATGATTTTCCCACTGCTACCTTTGAAAGCTGTTTTGAAGTCAGAGTTGAGGTTGCGGTAAAGCAAGGTAGTGAGGAATAAGAAGCGTGAACTGAAGGGAAGTTGTGCTGTGTTGCAGAGAGTGTCAGCCGGTATTTTGTGTAGCAAAGAGTACAATGTTTATGTGGCATTTAACGCTGGCAGACCGATAAAAGCCCTGATTCTGAGTGATTATGTGACGAGAAGCACTGGCTGTCACCTAGCATTGCTTTCGGTGGTAAACACGGCACAAGAAGAACATTAAAATGCCAAAGTCAAGCGCTTAGAAAAGAAGAAATCCCAGTATCAAAGTACAGCTCCAGGGGCCCCTGACCCCTCCTGGGTTTTACGATTCCTCGAGGAGCAACCACTGCAGGGAGAGCTCTGCCTCCCACCCGCGGGTCGGGGCTGCAGCCGCTCGGTTGGCAGAACGTAGCTAACGAACCTGAAGGATTTTGGCTGACCATAGCTTTTAAGGCAAGTGGGTATCACTATGACTAGTCCAGCTTATGAAACACCTCAACCTCCAGACTCCCCTGAATGAGTTCTGGCACACATGGAGCTGCGAATTCTCACTCTGCCAGCGTGCACTAGGAAACCTTTATCTGAAAGGCTGCGTCCATGTCCCAAAGGCTTTAGGCTTTAAATCTCCACCCTCCAGTAACCATGGAAATATTTTTCAAGTGCAGAAAACAATATTTTTCCCCACCCAAGCCCATTGAGAACCGCTCAAATCACTTCCTCACCCTCCAGCCCCCAAAACTGTTCCCATAAAAATATGTCTGGCTCCCTGTTAAAACTTTTGGGCCAAAAATGTAAAACTCTGGCAAAGTTATAACAAATTGCAAATGGAGCATCGGACAATCTTAGCTACTGGTGGTGTTATTAGCAATGCCTACTTTCATGACCATGGGGGAAAAATATCAGTGTGTTCTCTGTACTGCATAGTACAAGGCTTTTCACTGTAAAGAGGTCTTCATAACTTGTTTCTTAAATGCAGTGAAACTTAAAATGCTGTAAAAACAGCTTTCCTAACAATACGTTTTCCAGAATGTATCTTTCCATATATCTTTCCATCTTTCCACATGTATCTTTAAGTATTACTCATATTTTTTCATTCTCAAAACTTATTTCAAGGATATTCAATTATGGTCAGGTTTCTCATTACCAAGGCATAGCTCCATTATTAAAAAAAAAAAAAAAATAGAGAAAGAGATCACAAAAGGGCAGACACAAAGAGATTATATTTCATTGCAGACCTGACACGTTGGTCTGCACCTGTCAAATCAGCCCTGCGATTATGTGGGACTTTGTGAAACACAAATACATGAAACAAGTTTCCCTTCAGCATGGAGGGATAGGAAAGCTAAGCAATCTCAGTAAGAGATTGGAACAAAGACAGGGACTGAATCATGCAAATAATAAAAGATTCTTTTTTCCCCAGGCTTCTATTGTTTTGAAGAATAAGAGGTTGTACATGAAGGAAAGGTGCTGCTGCCGTCCGGTGTTTATCTAATGCAGCATGAGTTGCCTTGTATTGACCTCCCCCAGAGTTGGGTTTCCACCATTGCACAGACATTTAGAATTTTGACTTCCTTTAAAACAAAGTAGGTCACAGGGGTTTCTCACCCACCCTCACACACACACACTCTTGTTGAAACAGAAAAAAAGAATTTAAAAAGTATCTTCACCATGAGGACACTCATCAGAGTATATTTGTCAAGGATGACAGATACCATAGAAATTGTTTAAAAAAGGGTTTGTGTGAGAGCTAGGTGAAGGGAAACCTTCCATTTAAAAATGAAGTTCCAATCTCAGACAAATTAGGGTAAAAACTGAAATTCTTAGTGAAATAACACGGGAATCTTCCATTTAGCAAATAGCCTTGAGAAAATGGGTGCTAGAAGCCTATGATACCTTCAAGGAGCTGTATAGAGAAGTCAACACAAAGGATTTTCTTAACTTCTTGCTAGATGTAGAGAAATTTACTGGAAAAGAATAAATCTTTGTCAACTAATTTGTTTCAGTCAACAAACACCAATAAAAGAATTGCTTGGGTTTTGTTTTTTTTTTTTCTGACCTGTGCTAGGTTATAATCTCATCACAATAATAGTTTATAATCTCCTTTGCATGCCGCTCTATATGTGAATGCACATGCAAAAGCTTTAAGATGATTCCACGTTTCGTTCAAGCCAGGCTACAGCAGACTTCTGTTCAGCGCCAAATAGGTTGCCTAGCACTATAAATAACGAAAATCTCCTTTTCTCCATCATCAGCTTTCAATCACAGCACAAGTGTAATATGACTGTACGATTTCTGTGTAACACCTTGGAGCTTTCATAGGCAAGGTGGAAAGCTTTTCTGCAAAGTCAATAGGTCTCCTGAGAAGAAAGGCAAGTGCCACAAGACCTTTTTTAATTGCTTTTCTTTGGCTGACTTTAACTAACGCTGTGGGCATTTGTCCTCACCATGACAGTCTGGACTTCATTGCCCCTTCACTCAGGCACAGGGCTATTTTGGCAGAGAGCTGATACATAGGTACAGCAAGTGGTGATGTGAAGAAAATACAGAATAAATGTTTCACATACATGATGTAGATACTCATCATAAAAATGCGTATCTAAATAGGCAGCCTTTGTGCAGGGTTTTTTGTTTAAAATCCCACTCTTGGACAAGAAATAAGGTGCTGTACTTTGTCCTTTTCAGGACTGATTTTTTGCATGCATTGACTCTCTCTTTTCAACAGTCTTTTAAATCCTACCGGATTTGCCTCAGTGTCATCTTCTTCTCTGTCCTGATCTCTTCACTCCCTGTGCTTTCAGCCACAGTGTCCCACAGGATGGGTGCAAGGCCTGGCTATGGAAATGGAAATAGAAATAGCTAGGGAGAGAGAGGAATACATCAGGTCAGCCAAGGAAAAATAGGAGATTTTGGCTACAGTGGTTAACAGCACTAGTTAATTTTGTTTAGAGCTTAAATTTTAAAAATTACTTTCAAAAAAATCTTTAAGTTATTCTTTTTCAAAAACTGTATATTAAAAATAGAACATTTTTCGAGTGAAGTTTTCCATGTGAAACTTTTTGACCTCTGGGTGGATTCTTTTCCAGGTGCAAGGGAATTAGGGTGGTCTTTCCTCACAGCTGTCTTAATGCTGACTTCTACTTTCATTGCTGGATGTGCTCATTCTGCTGGTGGCCATTTTGCTTCAGAAGGTCCTGAGTTAAAATCTGGCTACAAAACCCCCACATTTCTTTATCATACCCGCAAAACTGAGAGCAACTCACACCCACACAACCCACCAACGGCTCAAGCAGAGACAAACAGTATTGCTTTAACTCCTGGTGTTAGGGAAAGGATTGGAGGGAGGTCACTTCCCTCAGAAACTTGATGTTTGCATGGAGAATTTCTTCTTTTGATGGTTTTGAGTGAGCAATGAAAGCTGGTAGGTCACAGCTAGCCATGGGCTTGGTATCCCAGGGAGGGCAAAGCATCACAACCGACCCGTGGTCCCACACTCCAGCCAGCAGCGCCTGCCTTCATCCAGCAAGTCTCCAGGCCAGGCTTTCACTGTGCCTAGCACATTTTGCTGTCTCTAATTAAGCCCTAAACTACTTTCAGCTCTGATGATCTTCCCGCTGCTTTGTCCTTCCCCCACAACGAATTTCAGACATTCATGTTCAGTGAGATACAGGAATAGAAGCGACTCAGCTTGCAGTCACCCTCACTTAAGAAAGCTGGCTATAAACGTGTTTCTGAGCTAGTGTTTACACCAAAAATCAGGACACTGGAGACAATTTAGCTCGGTTTGCTAGAGCTGGCTGCAAAGATTCCTAAACGAACTCTGAAAAATAGCCTCCAGCTCATTCGTGTCCCTTCCCATGCTGCCGCCTGTTCCTCTGACCCAATCTGCCCCTCCTTAGCTCAGCCTGTGACTTTGACTTTTCCTGATCCACCAGAAGCTCCCTGATCCCAGCCTCCCCTAATCTGACCTAAGCTAGAGCAAATGGTGACCCCCAGTTGCACACGTGCATGGGCTACTTCCAGATCAGTGTGTCAGTGCTCTTCGTATTACTGTTTTTTAAGCACCTTTTGAATTCCTCTCTTCTCTGTGTGCCTCCTCAACCAAGCCCCTGAATGAACCTGCTGTTTCTCTATCAATCGAATTTATTAATCTTCTTTTTCTGGAGGGAGCCTCAGTCTGTACCTTCAGTGTGTGAAACACTTTGAAATTAAGAGGGGCACATGCCAAGCAAAAAAGCAGCACTGAGGTATGGTGGGAACCCAACAAAGTCACCGCTTCTGGGAAATTTTCTGTTCCTAAATTATTCTGAGCTGGTTCAGCAAAGAGTTTCTTGTAAAAAGGTAGTGAAGAAATCCCCCTTTTGCCTCAAGGTTACAAGTTATTTTGTTAGACCAGATGATAGGACAGCATGATTCTATCAGGACAAATCAAAGTTTACTGAGCAAATCTGTATTCTATAACCTGATTTATTGGTGCCATCTGTCAACACCCATGAACAGATGCTCTGTAGGACCTCACTAATGTGCAATAATAACTGGGAGAAACCCACTGCAAATGATGGAATTTTAAAAGTTATTGAATGTAGCAGGAGAGATAAACATAATGAAAAATGTCTAGGAGAATGCATCCCAATGTTCATTCTTCAGTTCCACTTCCCCGACAGCAGTACTACGGAGCGTACTCATCTATATATGTGGGTATGCAGTGTAAAAAGAAACCAAGCATGCAGATTTTCCTGTGATTTTGCTCCAACCCTTTGCTACTTTATGCTTCAAAGAAAAGAGAGCGTTTTGGTGTGAGCAGTTACAGTGACAGCTTACCCAAAATCAATGAGTTCTTCCCGATTGTAAGAACTCTTTTTTACGGGCATATTCAAGCAGGTCAGGACTACCATATTGCTAGCACTAATGTCTTTTTTTTAATGATTTTCCCCTACTCTGCAGCTACTTCCAAGCCCTGTGTACTCTGAGGGCATGCCAAGGTAGAAGCAAACGAGTTTGCAATTATTGCCACTGGCAACATTAATTTTACATTCCCATCTCTTCCAAAACACAGGGGAGCAAAAAGAGATAACGGAAAGACAAGCAACTTGTCCGGACAGAGATTTGAAACGTGCCCAGGCTCAGAGCAGGTGCCACGGGAGCCCTGGCTCCCGCAGCCCCGGGGAGGGCTCGGAGAGGTGCGGGAGCAGCTTGGTCCCCGGGTCCTCGCAGCCCCCGGCCCCGATGCTGCCTCCCACCGCCTCCTGCCCACGGGACTCCCCGAACTAAGCATTCATCTCTTAGGAGCTGCATTAAAATTAAAAGCTGAAGCTGTAGCGACGGTGGGGACGCTTTACCTTCGCTCCTAGCAGGCACAATACACCGCCTGCTCTGTCCACACCAAGGGCGTTATGTGGCATCAGTTCAAACACTCTCAGGAATGTTTGATAGACAAAACCTATCTGATATCTGACAAAGTTGCAAAGTTGGGGGACAACAACTTTCAACCACTGCCACTCTTTCAGAGGCTGAATTTGGATCCAGAGCTGGAAAGCAGAAAGCCTCCTTCCCTTATTGTGCCAATCCATTAAAATCACACACTCACGGAAACTCTCCATGGAGAAACTATCACTGAACTATTAATAAAATCTTCCTGAACTATTAATATGGTCTGTGGGAGCTTTAATCCACCACAGGGACTGATTATGTAAGCGCACAGGCATGAAGATGTTGTTTTTATCCTCAGTTTAAATGACCTTTTGGTTTAAACAGTTTTGTGTATCATTGAAATCTTCCTGAATCTAAGGGAAGTTATTTTCTTTCAAAGGGGATTATATTTTGATTTGCAGTAAGCTGGCAAGTATGGTCGAGATTAAAGTGCATTTGGACGGCAAGATGTATGTTTGTTTTTCTGATTGCAAAGGGTAGGAGTTTTGAAAGCATTTTAAAAATGTTTGTGTCACAAAATTCAGATGTCCCATAACCTAGAAATATGCTGTAATTTGGTTTTTGAGCTCAGGTCATTGCTTTATGAAGCCAATTCATGCCGTTTGAAAAGATTGACCCTGAGCATCAGGTTGGATTTATTCCTAATTTTGGTATTCCAAAGATTGTTTTGCTTTTCTACCACACTTTGGTGTGAGGAGATGCTGGAAGATCATCTTGATTTTTAGCTTTCAGACCATGTAGAACAACACCACAGTAAAAGGTTTCTGATGCATACTCACGCCAAAAGAAATAGATGTCGTGAAGACAAGAACAGGCAGAAAAAATGAAAAATTGTCGCTAGCTACTTAGAGGAACATTATATACCAAGGGTTTTCAGTCCCAGACTCATTTCAGTTTGGAAATTTCCCTGCACTTTAGGCCTGAGTGGAGAAGGGAAACAACGATCTCCGCAACATTTTCCTCTGATCTGCAAGCTTGGGGACACTTCTCCGATCTGAAATGAAAGATGTACTGAGGCCTGTATGGATTTCGGGGTGTCTGTGGCAGCTCCACTGTGGCACTCAAATGTTCATTTCTTGCTCTTCTTTGGGGACAACGCGGAGGGCAACAACTGAAAACAGTAAAGAAACGAACACATAAAGTAAAAAAAAAAAAAGACAAATCAGAGGAAAGAAAAGTCTCACCTATGTCACTGGTTTCATTCAATCAACAGGAACAACTAAAACCCTCTGTTTGGACAATTTTCTCTCTCTAGGCTTGCCTACACTGTTTTGGGAAGGTGCCCCTGCAGCAGGGTTAGAGATATTCCTTGGTTTAGCTCACTTCAGGTCCCAATGAAGAAGACCTGGTTTGACTCCGGAGTGAGCTGGCTGCCCAAGCAGGTATCTGGAGTCCTTGCGCTGTTTCTTCTCTGCTACCACTGCGTAGCAAGTTAGCTGGAGTAGCGCTGGGCTGGATGTATTTATTGACACTGCAATTTCATCTCTGAGCAACACACTAATGTGTCCAGCCTAGTTTTCAAACAAAATGACAGTAGTGCCCACAAATAATTAGACCAATTCCTGCGTGCTATATTTTATTTATGTCATTGGAATAAAATGTAAATATATCCTCAGGATTGGGTATTTTTAACAAGGAATCAGGTTAAGAAAAGGCTCTATGATCCCAGGGTCCTTTTCACAGTAGGCTCCAAAAAAATGTACCTCATTATAAAATACACCTTCCCAAGGAATCACAGGATGTGAGAAATCAAAAGAGAATTCCTAAAAGCAAAAGCTCTCCAGCAGAAAATCAATTTCAGCTACTTTCACCTTGCCCCAGGGAAAGCAGCAGAGACACTAAGTGGGGAATGGGAAATGGCTCATACGCCTTCCTGGAACTGCACGAGGCAGACCTCCAGACGGGAGCTTTTCCTTCCAAGGCAGCTCTGCTCTAATTAGGGACTTCTGCACAATCGGTATGTTGCAGTTCCAAACAGTGTCTGGATGATTCCCATATCAAATTTCTTTGGTTTAAAAAAAAAAAAAAAGAAAAGAATTTGTCTTTGTCCTTGTTCTAATTGACAGCCTTACAAATGCAGGTGGACGGAGGGATGAAGGTCAAATTGAACTTATTGTGCTTAATAGGGCACGGAACAAAAATTAGCAGAAAGTTGCACACAAAAAAATGTTCTTTGGTGGTTGTTTTTTTCCTGGCCACCATGTTGCCTTTTCAAGGGTCTTTGTGCATTTTCGGGTGTATCTTCAGAATGCAAAGAAAGCAATCACCTTTAAATAAAACTTTTATAAGACTTTCCTCTAACACTTAATCTACTGATGTACCAGACAGAATCTAGTTTACGGACTCAACAGTCTATGTTGGGTGGACATAAAACTCACTTTCTATATAAGAAAGTACATCCTTCTCCTTAGTCAACCTTTTCCAGAGGCAGTCTGCCAGTTTAAACCTCTGACTGCTTCCTATAATTCTCAGCATTCAGCCCTTTCTGGGTAATGTGGTATCATTAAGGCTGGTCAACACGTTCTAAAAAAAAAAAACCACGTTCCCCCTTGGAAATGAAGTCTGACTGACATTTCTTACTGAAGATTGTGATTAATATCAGCTGTGCATTCTAGGGAGAAAGCAAAATAATTTTTCTTTTTTGGGTCTGTGTAAATTTCTGTGTCTTAAAGTTACTCCCCTGCTTCCCATCTCTCGTTTCTTTATTGTCCTTTGCTTCAGACTCAGACTGTATCTCCTACTCCGACCTAGGCTGCGGTGGTACAACCTGCGACAGCTGTGGTAGCTCAGTCCCAAAGAGCAGAGGAGTCCAGAACTTCTGCCTTAGCGATATAGCTTGTGGGATGGCTGCCAGCTTGACAAATATAGAATTTTTTCTTTTTTTTTTTTTTAAAAAAAAAGGCAAATATGGAACATTCCGATATTGCTTAATATTTTTTTTATTTTTTAGAATATTCTGTTAAAGGTTTCCAATCTTCAAATTTTCATTCCCATGTGGGAGGAAAGCAACTGAATATGTGAATTTTGCATGAGATGGGCATTTTTGGCTCTGGTCTGCTCTAAAACCTAATTTTAGGTTATCACAGGGTAGGAAAAAAAAAAAAATCGCTGTGGGCTTCACTTCACACTTGTGTTGGTCAATGTTTTTCTCTAGGTGGGCTCAGGCTCCCTGCAGCTGGTTCTCAGCACAGCCCACCCGAAGTCACTGCAACCTGCAGCACTGCAGTAATTCATATCAGTCAGAGCTGCGTCCCTAAACACTGATGAATATTCCAGTAGCAATGGAAATACCGTCATCTTTACCGTGAATGAACACCTCAACAGAGCACGTACCATCCTTAAAAAGCTCAGCTTATAATTTATTGGGTTTTAAAATGGGATCACCTGTAATGTTACACTGCTTGGCCTCCTGCATACTGGCCTGACTACCCACTAGTCTTGCACGGAGCATCCAATATCAAGATTTGTAATGATTTCAGGTCAACTGATGTGTCGGGGGAGTAAGCGGCTTATACTATACAGCAAAAGAAAAATGTATCCCGTGGCTGCTCACAAACATTACCTAAGCATGGTTTAAGACGACTGCCAGGGCAATCCATAGCCAGTGCTAAAGAGCACAGAGTCTCCTGCCAGGCTGCCCTGGGTGGTGGGAGGTGGTGGGATGCCTACATAGTGCTGAATCTGGGAACAAAATTTGACCTTGAAACAGCACAGAAGCTATACCGAGCAGGTGTATAAGGGGATTTTTCCATATCATCTCACAAATCCACTCCATATCCTCACCAGCTGTGCTCAATCTCTGATGCTCTGGAGGAAGGTGAGAGAAAGCCCCAGGATACCCCTTGCTAATTGTGAGGGGAATGAACCTGCCCGAGTCCCGAAGCCAAAGCCCTGCAGGAAAAGACCTGATTATGCTCTGTCTGTACGTGCTGAGCTGTAGGGCACAGGCAGGACGAGGACGGCTTCATCAAAATCTCCCTTCACGAGGGAGAGACAGGCACCTCTCCTCTCGCAGGAGCAGCGGCCGTCCCACCATTTATGCAATGCGAAAAAACTCCTAGGCTCTTCCCTGACTGACATTTGTTAGATGAGAGTGTCGGTACAAAATACCCATCACACTATACAATAACCTTTAAAGACATGCCCGCAACCTCCTCTTTTATGAAGCGTAGCACGCTGGCTGAGCGGAGCAGGACGCTATTGCAAACACCTCCCCGGCGGGACGCTACCTGCATGCTAATGTCGAGGGGGTTTGTGCACAGCCTGGCAGCCAGCGCTGGGCTCCAGCAGTTTCCATGGTGCCGTCCTGGTTTTCACTTATCAACATTTCCCACCCATCCTCCTCCCCAGAAAACGCTGCTTGCTCACCCCGAAAGGTCAGCCCATTGTAATGATGATTTTAGCAGGGGGGGAGGCGGGGAGGCCGAAGGGTGAAAAGGTGAGCTGGGTACAGCAATGTGCGTGGGAACCGGGGGCTTGCCTTACGCTGCACAATGAGAAATTAGAAAGCTTCCCCTCAAGGGAACGGTGCTCATCAGCCCCCTCTCACTTCCCATCCCAGCCAAGTCAGATGCCCTGATGGAGTTAAAAAATGTTCAGGCGAAGTGACTGGAGAGCCTACTTTAAATCATCGGCAATTGATGCGTTAGCGCAGGGAGGGGAGAAGGGACTGCGTCTGCTAACAGAGGCAACCGATGCAAACGTCTTTCTTTTTCCATCTCCCTCCTGCCCCCTCCCAGCCAGCCCAGTGCTCGTTTGCAGATGGAAAAAGGCAGACTTCTTCCTCTGACTTTCATCCTATTGACTGCCGGACTAAAGCACTGCATCTATTAACTGCCTTCCTCTTCTTTCTTTCTGCAGGACAGCTTTCCTGCCCGTTTTGGAGGAGTTCATTTTGTCAACCAGCCCTGGTACATCCATGCCCTGTACACGCTAATTAAACCGTTCCTCAAAGACAAGACAAGGAAACGGGTAATTAGAGGGGTCTGAGGGGGGATACGAAGCTGCAGAGCCGGAGTAGCTGGGTAGCTGCCTCCTTTCTTCTCTTCCTTCTTTTTCTCTCTGCATTTTTCATATGGCCTCAGAGAATTGCTGCCGTTATTAAAACGTAGAGTTTGCAGTGGTCTGGGTTGAATCAATAACTCAGCCAGGGACCAGAAAGCTGCTTTCACTAACAAAGGGCAGATACGTTTTAATGGGACATGCTCAGGGACAGAGAGACTTGGCAATGTGGAGGGAATATCAGGCCTGGCTGAGGTCACCTGCGGTGAGGGAAACTTCAGTTCAACTCTTTTTGTGACAGTAAACTTTCCTATTTCATTCCTTCAGCAAGTTGACTGTTTTCACACGGTGGTAACTCACTTGTTTCCACAAAAAATGCTCATGCCTGAAGGCTGTTCGCTGACGCTGCAGAAAAGGCAGGTCTTCCCCGCTGAAACCAGTGTGAACTGTGGTCCTGCAGTCATCTTGGCCATTTGGCTTCTACAATCTAGCAAACAACCACCAGATCATCCCTCGGGATGCCCCAGAGCTCACCTTGGGGTGTCTCTGACCGGGCAGCACACGGGCAGTACCAGCCTGAAAGCAAAGAGGGATTTGAGAGGCAAATGTCAAAGTGGTGACACAGCCTGGGAAATGTCAGTCCTGGGGTGCGGGGCTGGGTTCCCCTCTCAGGCACTGAGGACCTGCTCTTCACAGCTTCTTTCAGTGACCTCCACTATCTCCCTTTTCTTCTGACTCCTCTTCGTACAACCCTCTGTCCTCTTACAGTAGCAATAATCAGTCATTATTCCTGACTTCCACTTTCTCTGGTCTGGTACTTAAGAAAGTGAAAGTGTCATGCACCAAAAGCAAGCGAATCTGGGTTTTCAGAAGGGTTTATTGTGCCAACCTAATTCTTCAGCTGCACACCCCAAAACTAATCCCCCCCCTCCCGCCTGCCCGAGCCAGCCCCGGGTGCTTCAGAAATTCCCACCTGAAACTGCAGCGTCAACTAATGATGCTCCACACCTCATTAGCGCTGTTATTATTGTACTCTAATGAAGTAAGGAATCGATGATGACTTTGAACTTTCTTTTTGTTTGTTAAAGATCTTTCTTCATGGTAACAACTTGAACAGCCTTCACCAGCTAATACACCCTGAATGCCTGCCCTCTGAGTTTGGGGGGACTCTTCCTCCGTACGACATGGGGACGTGGGCTCGAACGTTACTCGGTCCTGACTACGGCGATGAAAATGAGTACACCCACACCTCCTACAACGCCATGCACGTGAAGCATGCGTCCTCCAACTTGGAGCGGGAGGCTTCGCCCAAACCCATGAAAAGGTTAGTACTGCCTTTGAAATCATCTCTTATTGGGCTCTCTGAACAGGTTTGGCATAAATCTAGCAAGAAGGGCTCATCTGGCTTGGAGAGAGGCTTTAATCTGGCAAATGTTGATGGCAAGGAGCACTTCACCCCAGACCGTGTTCATGGTGTGGTGGGAGAAAGGAAACCTCTCTGTGGAACCGTAATTACTTGTCTGATTACTGTGCACAAAAACGAGGGGAAATTAATTAGCCCCTGCACAGAGCATTACAGAAAGGCTAGCAGAGTGAGATGCTCTTCTGTACGGTGTAATGTGGCCAGCAGCACCGCTTCAGTGCTGGTCCCTATTACTTGCTGCTGCTTTGCTTGCTGCTGACCCCGGTTGTTAACGGTAAGGGTTTTACCTCCTCGGAAATGCGGCTTTTGTACAACGAACACCAGTGCCCTCTAAAGGGAAAATGGACGGGGCTCCTCCCGCTGCCTCTGCTCCCACTTTCTCCATCCAGCCCTGCTAAGGCAGCAGAGCTGCTCTTTCAAGAGCTCTGCTTTTAGATCTGGCGGTTGTGCACTCTGAATGCTTAAAGTTACACCTCTCGAGGGCACCACCCTCAGTAATTTGCACTGGTTATGGGGATGGGAGGGGTGGATAACTGGCAGGGGTTTGTGGGTGGTAGGGCAGAGCCAACACCAGCAGCAGCCCGCGATGGCCGGGC